TGTTTCCTTGAAATACCTCCTCAATAATCCTCACGAGGCTGAGTTAATCCGGTTCCAGACCCACCACTTCTCAGAAAGAACTCTGGTAGCGCCGGGAATCGAACCCGGGACCTCTGGATCTGTAGCCATGAACTCTGGCCACTAGACCACAGAGGCGGTCCATGGCCACGGGCCACAGAAACTGAGGAATTGTCTTGGAGTGCCCACAACAGGGCTAATTCTGGGCTGGACAATAATGCATGATGACAATAATTATGTACGCCCATTTGAAATGATGGAGGAAGGAGCCTGTTGTGGCCGGTTAAAGGTAATATCCCAGAAGGACTTGCACGAAAATTCTGTCAGGATAATCGTAAAATCTAAAAAATGCACTGAATGTAACACAGCATGTTGCAGTTATCACGTCTTCAATTACTGGGGATCACTTCACGGGGTCATCCAGATGTATGGTAGTTATTATATAGTCTGCCATCCTTGCTAACCTGTCCAATTGACAATCACAAATAATACATCCCACAAAGAGCTACACTTAATTATTGCGTCACGGTCCACCGCTCATAAATCGAAACAGAAATTGAATTTTCTGTGTGCTATTGGCCTGTTTCGTTTTCTATGTATGTCCCACTCTCAGGGAACAAAATGTTCATATTTCTGCAGGTTTGTGAGTATAATAATAAGTAGTTACTATAGGATTCTGACGATGGTGTATAACACACTGATATATTGGGTTTTTGGACTTTATCCATCGTCCTGGTTTTTAAGATAACTAATAAAAACAAGACGTTTCGGAAACTGGATCTGTTTCCGTCCTCAGGTGAAGGAAAAACCTATTCTGTTGGTTCACTGCTCCAGTGATTGAGGCTATCTCTTTCTAACGGACCCAACAGAATAGGTTTTTCCTTCACCTGAGGACGGAAACAGATCCAGTTTCCGAAACGTCGTGTTTTTATTAGTTATCTTAAAAACCAGGACGATGGATAAAGTCCAAAAACCCAATATATCAGTATAATAATAGTATAATAACCAGTTGATTCTGAAATATAGTTTCTTGCTCAATAGTACATCACAAATATTTTATGAGAAATGGTATCGTGAGTTTCTGCAGTCGACTGGAAGTATTTATATTATTACCTGGTAATACAGAAATGAAAGGATATGATTAACTGGTAAGGATGTGGAAGGAAGCGGTTATGACGAGCTACACCTGGAGCAACCGAATTAAAACACGGAAACAATCAGTAAATGCGAGTGGTATATGAAGTTTGTATAATTTTATCCATCTTAATGCCGACAAATGTAAATTTGATGTTCAAGCACGAAATCATATTCTTTAACTGGTACTGACACGAGAATTTAGTTTCTCTGAAAACTAAATTGTGCTGTTCGTCCTGAGACTTTACGTCATTATTGCTATTAAATGGCGGAAATATAAATCGGTGACTTTTAATGACTGGAAGGCGGTACAAAAATGGCTACTACTTCATTTATATTACAATATAAAACATACAATTTCTCATTAGCACCAAAGTTTTGCCCGAAAATATTAAGCGTGGAAAATAAATTATCACGAATCATTAATGAATAATTTTAAACATTAAAGTTAGATTACTCTAATATTCTTGTTGATGCCATATCTGTTGGCATCTGTTGAGGCCAATCTGTGTCCGATGATAATGTAGCAATTCGTAAATACAGATTGTACGATTTCTTTGTAATGCATATTGTAAGAAGTAATTACGCAGTTCTTAGCCTATAATATTCAATTTAAGTGCAAATAATGCTAGAAACATTTCACTTATAAAAACTACAATGAACGCTTCGTTACTGTTACAAAGTTCAAGTACCAGCACTTACTGTTCAATAGCAAAGTAAATCAATGTTGTCTTTGAATGTTTTAACCTACATTTAACTTAACATGAAGCCACAGATACTTTGAACTCGTCTAATTAATACAACTTACAGTACTGAGCGCTGACACACACAAATACGAACACAACTCTGAAACCTGTGGATTGACACATTCCCCTGTCTCCTTACCGGCTTACACATTCCCCTCTGTCCTCTCTGTCACTGTTCGAGAAGTCGTGTGAACATAAGACAGCAATTTGAATCCATCCGCAGTAGTGCCACCTGATTTCCTGTGGCGGATCGTAAGAAACACGTATTTTAGACATGGCATTCAAAAACCGAAATCGGACAATGTAACACGTGTAGGTATCCATAAAATTCGTAGCATACTTTCTGTTTGTTTATGAAACCTTGTCGGTCACTCCAAGCGAAAAACTGAGTTAGAAATTGAGATTACGTATAGAAGAGCAGTCTCTCGGGAAATGGTTTTCAATAAAACGGCAATGTGTTTGTGAATGGTTAATATGCGGTCTGTTGTATAGCATTATTCCAACATTTGCCTGGGAAAACTCAGAAGAATGAGGAAACAAGTCCTGTCAGGATAACAGACCTCAGGGAAGATGTTTTCACCAGAGACCTCTGTCCACTTGCCAGTTGAGAAAACTGTGTTTTGCATCACAGAGCCAGTACTTCCGGGGTTCAAGCCCTGCCGAGGGAACAAGATGTTTCTGTTCACTGTACCGAATGTCATGGCGTAGTGTTCAGCCATCTTGGTTCATAACCTTGAAGTAAATGGTTTCAGTCTTGGTCGCCAGATCTTGATCGCGTGTTTCGTGACGTTCCTTTGTTCCTCAATTTGAGTAGCGGTGTAAATAACTTAAAGTAGGCCACGGCAATTCCATATCCTTGCAAATACACAATTCACAAACGCGCTGCCATCCTATACTACGTATCCTGCGAAGATGGCAAATTACTAGATCTGGAACAAAACAGAACATCATTAAACAATGAAATAAAGAGGGACTTCACTGCAGGTAAGACGACCGAAACCTAAAACTGGTCACTTACCCCAACATTTCTGCTGTAATCTAGAATGTGGGAAGTTTCACCTTCACGTCCTCTATACGACCTCATGGCTTCACGTGCAGGCTCATTAGTGTTCAACGACGCACAAACAATAATTCCGTTCTGCAAATTTGTGCCGTTAGCATTAGCACAAAACCCGTTCGCTAAATGTTTCACTGTTACATGGTTCAGTTTATGGAGTGACTGTGTTGGGGCTGGTCTGACGGACAGTCCGCCACTGCTTTATTACGCAGAAACAAGTGACAAGCGCGAACATAATTCAACCAATGACAAGCCTCGATGCAACCTTACGATCACCCCATCCCCTTCGCTACAACAAGCCTAACTGATGTTATAAATGGCAGCTTGTACCAGTGCAAGTTAGGGAAAGAGTGCATGATCTAGAACGAAGCAGTTTGCATCAGTATTTGTTTGTCAGTAAGTCAACTGTGATTGCGATTATTGCAAACTTACCAGAATTACCGAATGCTGTGTAACAAAAATTATACAATAACAAATGACCTGAGTTCGAATCTGTCTTCACACATGCAGCATCTTTACAGAATTTTAAAATTTTATATAAACGTCTTAAAACCCAGACACTTTCGTAATGTTGCAGTTCTAGTTTCGCTTCCTCTTCTCTGGAGATTAAAGCTCATTGAGTGATTCCCTTCAAAATATGTAATAACGTTAGAAATTTTCCAGAGAGGCGGTACTTTAAGCACATAGATTCTTGCACTGTAATATCTGTTGAGTGCAATGTGCTTCACGCTGCTTAACGTTTGTCATACAGGATCCTACTAGAGAACCTCACACTTGTGTTATGGCAAAGGGGCTCAAGTCAATTATAATCAAAATGAAATACCGTACTTACTAATGTATAGGCCGCAGCACAATTTTCAGACAGAAATTATAGAAAAAATAATTTTCTTGGAATATTATTTCAGGAGTAGAAATTATTCCGAAATTTGGCAACGTTTAACATTCCTAAGTTCGCAACTAGCGAAAATAATTCGAATATAAGCCGCACCCCAGTTTTCCTCTTGAATTTTTGGCAAAAAATGTGCGGCCTATACATGCGTAAATATGGTATGTGCATCACGAAATTCTCATTAGCACCCACCCCCCGCATTACGTCATTAAAGCACAATACAGTAACATAATGGAATACTAAGGATCAGACCTAATGGCCCTTGTCTCACTGTCACATGTCCTTAATATCAGAGTAGATGGCCCATGTTTTGCTATTGCACATCAATAGGATCATACCATCATAAATATTAAATGGTTTATCAGTTTCTAATGTTTAAATCTCTGGTCTGTGTACTGGTTTAATGCACATGAAGTTGGGCCATATGATTGTCTCAGTGATCATGAATGTGTCCTGTCAGAGCAAAGAACCTTACACAGTAAATTTTGTATTACTCTTTTTTTATAATTTTATGGGGGGGGGGACTGATTCCAATTGATACATGGACCACTAATTGTCCTATCGTTCAAGCCGTGAATGATAGAGGAGCATGGTGCATTTGGAGGATTGAGAACTGGCAGGGGAAATCCAAGTACTTGAAGAAATCTGCCCCACTGTCACTCTGCCCACCACAAATCCCACATGATCTGTCCTGGGATCAAACCCGGGTTGCTGAGGTGGGAAGCCGGCAGCTAACCATCTGAGTTCGTATCATTCTTTGTTCTCTATTAAGTCTGCAGTAGAAAACAGGAAAGCTACATTTTTTATGTTTGATTAATGTAAACACTAAAATAAATGATCTAGTCTTGTCCTCCTCAGGCACTTGGTTCAAATTTCAGCCAGGACATCAGCTTTCCTGACTGCAGTGTTCTGTGGTTTTCCTTCATTCCTCCAGCCAAATGATGGTGCAAAACCTGGCAGTGGCAATGGCCACTTCATTTTAAACCATTTCCAATTCATCAATCATATCATTTGACATTATCTAATGACACTAAATGCACTGTAAATTAAACCACAAAAGAAAGACATTGTACCAGAAATGCAGGAAGACCACATCAATTCTTACATTCCTGTGTACATTTCATGAAAGACAGCAGTGTCAAAATAAAATACACACTAGCTTCAAGATGTTTTATTGGTTTTCACTGGGTCACCTACAAAACAGGGGGGGGGGATGTTCATAATACAACTGACCATGTGCAAAAAACATGAATATTTACTCTTCTGTTACTTGGCCTTAAAGCTAGAAGCATGACCTTTTGTTTGGAGTTGTAAACACTCCTGTAGTTTGAAAGGCCTCCATACACAACCAGTACTACCTAAAACCTAACCTTACCACAGAGAAGGAAATTGGGCACAAGTAGGAAGAAAGACTGCAGTTTCTTGGTGTTGTAGTTAGGTATACAGAACTGTAATGCAACTCTGAGCAGCATAATGCCATGAAACCTCAGGAACCTTCCAATTACAACGCTCTCATTAACAGAACAGTCTGACAGTAATTATGTACAGGGGCTAACAAAATTATGACACACTCAGATATGGAATACACTACCACAGTCCACATTTGGTCCAAGTAATTCTGAACATGTATGATATTTCAATATCCTGTCTGTGTTGAGAGAACATAAATACCTACTGGAAACTTTCATCCCTTTCTATGTTACATTTTTAGCTTTACATCCTTTGAAATTTTAGGTTAGGCTCAGTTGGGTTCATTTAGGCTGTGTTATTTTGAGACCTACTACATAAGTACCCTTTCAGACTTCTTTATTCTAAATTTTCCAAGAAACTCAGCCAACAAAAGATTAAAAACTTAATTTCCACCTTTTATGAATAATTACACTGAAGGGCAGGTTTATTTTTGGAATTATTGTACTAAACTGTCTGCAACGTTCCATGAGGCTTTGTAATTAACAGGACAGGTGGCATCCAACAAAAAAATCCAGCAGAATTTTGAACCCTCTATAATCCAGCATTTAATTATTAAGCAACCATATCAGACTCGGAACTGTAATTTGTTCTAAACCAAAATGGAATATGTATATATAATTAAAATATATAAAACAAGAAGTTCTAGGAAGAACTAACCCCCTACTTTCATTTGATATGACACAATGTGCAGGAAACAATGCACCCAACAATTCTTCTAGCGTTGCATGCATATCTGTTGCCGTGGTAATGTTCTTACCGAGCTGTTGTCTAGCAACAATAGTGGGATACACAGAATTATTGGAGGGATTTATGAAGTATGTCATTGAGATGGGCTCAGATACTGTGATCTGCATACAAAGTTTCATAAAGATTGATAGGGAGGGACATGGGGACAGCAGAGTGATAGCATAATCCTGTTCCTATTTTTCCAAAATATGGAAAGTAGGCTTAAAAACAGATATATAGTATTAGGAAAGGATCAGTAATAGTTACAAAACATTAAATACTTCATTTCTAAAAGAAAAACAACTCTTCCAACAGCTGAATTCAAAAGGGTTACTACACTGTAAGGAAGGTTTCCTAGAGCAAAGCTATATCGTAAGCAGACGCATCATAAGAGAGGCCTGAGGGGGGGAGCTCCTATATTTCTAGGCTGTGGGGAGGTTTTCTAGATGATTGAAGGGGTTTGGTTCTTACAGATAAAACAGAGCCAGACAGAACATAATTATAAAAGAACTGGCACTTTTCTTGGAAAAGAAAATCTTTAGTTCTGTAAATTGTCTTGTGAACCTTTTCTGATTATTATCCCTTTCACTGACAACTTAAATATAATTACCACAACTGCGAAAAATATTAATTTCTGTTTGTTCCAATTAATTCTTTGCATCAGCTGAATTATATATTATGTGTTTTGTGAATGTCTGAGTTCAAGTGTGAGATTCAAGCAAAGTATTTTGAAAACATGATATAAAACTCTCTCGTCCACACTTGAGGTGCTCACAGATGGAACTACGAAGGTTATGGTCTACTAGTATACAGGTACCACGTGCCATACCACATAGATATTACTTTGCAGACAACTGTAATCTGCCATTTTATCTGCCCAGAAAAGCAGAAATTTAAAGTCATGTAGCTCTTAACATTACACAATGTAAAAAGAATATGGACTACATAAATTTAATTTATATATACACTATGGGAAAAACTGCACATATAGAAAAATGTATCCCATCATATGCTGCTGGATCAGGCTCAAGAGAAAAAGAAAATTCAGGCAGGAATTGCAAGCAGAGGGCATGGAGGTTTGAGGATCTCACAGCAGTGACAATGAACATGCCTGTCTTATGGGGTGTGACACAGTGTACTCAGGTAGATGGTTACCGTCATTTTGGAAGAACATACACACTCTGAGACAGCCACCGTTCCCTTTCTCTAATATTCTATCTCCTCAGTTTCAACCAAATCACACTGCCCTATGGGCCAGGCATTCCTTTCACCGTTCGTATTGTGGTTGTTTCCTTGAGGTCCCAGTTCTGGCCTCTCTCTCGCTATTTCAATATAATTTTATTTGATGATCATCATAATCATCTACCATGAAGACGGTGGCAGTAGATTCCCCCCAAACACTGAGAACAATCTACATGACTTACACATCATCACGCCCCTTCATGAATGGACCTGTGCCCACGTACAGTACGCACATGCTGCTGCTACTGCAGTTTCTTCCTACCAGCGCACAAAACATGTGAATGTGTGTACAGTAATGAGGTATTGAAAAGACACCAGTCTGAGGTATGATCTAGCTTGTACATATTGCAATTCATTTTCTGGAACCACAACCATGTGTTGTAACCATAATGGAATCTTCTGGTGTTACAAATGCTGACATTATTATTATTATTAATATTAATTATTATTTTGGAGGACTAAAATATTTAACTCTTCCATTTTTTAAACTATGCAAAGATAAAAAAAACAAGACTCAGAACTGTGAGAAGGGTTGAACACGTTTTATTCCAGTGAATTTTTTAGTGCCTTCTCTTCCTTCCACAGGATTGTAGGGTGCAAATGTGACCAGCTCTGGACGGTTTGTATCTTTCATTTTTATGATAAAAAGTTTTGATTTTTTCAATGTGGAATTCAATATTTTCATAATTTCATGCGATAATTTGTCTTAATTATGCTCAACTGTAATGTTTAGCACTTATATAAAAATATACAAGCAACCCCATGCCACAGTTCCGGCTTGTTCATGTCTTGCTAAGTCAGTTGCCAAACAAGTCATATATAATATATATGTATATATATACATAATTGTACATTTTAAATCATGTGAAAGTGCTTAATAATAATTATTACTTGAATGCATAGCTATGTTTCTGTTTCCTCCGCTGATATCTAGTGGCAGCGGACAACACAGTTAATGGAAGCAGTGAATTGAAATAACAGTTTGATTCCTTGATCGATTGCATATTTAAAAGATGTGCCACTCAGTACAGGGTTTATCAGAAAATACTGCTACATATGCTGCCATACAAGGAATGTCAATAAAGGCTGCCAAAATTATTTTCTGATACACCTGTCATCCTGCTGCTGTTTTTATTAAACACCATTCTCTGCTCAACAAGCCAGTGATAAAAAAAATGTTACATCCACTGTCTGCTTTATGAAAACACACAACACAATAATTGGTCTTGGCCCATTGGTTTCCCATCTGCAAACCAGCTACTGTGATGGTAGTGCCAGTTCAACAATATCATCTCTAATCTAGAATATTAAAAAATAGTGAGTTTCAAGAACCGCCCCAAGGACATACAATAAATAGAACACATCACTACCTAATTGGGACGTCACTCGGAACTGCTTTACAAAACCCGCACCGCACAGACTGACACTATGATACAATATGTACAATGTAATGTAGATTTGATGAAGGAGGGCAGGAAACAGGTCCACTCTGTTCTCTACCTGAGCACACGACAAACTGATGAGCAAAACGACATATATACCACGGCGTATCGTGCCAAAAGAGCAACTTCATGCAGCAATGGCATCAGGTAACTCATATGACAGGCATTGATACAAATTACAAGCCTTAAGATGAAGTGCAGAAACTTGCAGTATATTTATGCTAGTCTTGCAAAGAAGGAACTATTTATACACACAGAGTACCTCAAAAGAATCTGATAACATCTTTCATCAGAATTTGAATTGCAAAATGGACTTGAAGACAGAAGGATCTAGTCTCAAATTATGCAATTTCATTATTAAACTTATTAAGATGCCTTATTGGATAATGTGTGCATAAAGTAACAGTGCCTAGAATAGCGTTAATTCTGAAGATAATTTAGCGGCAGAACATCAATACATGACAAGTTATGAAGGTCCATTAGGCATGCCTGAATTCTGATACGCCAAGGTATAACATACTTTAATAATCACTAAGAATGTTCATTGATTTTGAAAATGGTATTATCTGTCAACGCTCCTGCTGCACACAGCTGACTTGACCTCACAACATGCAGTATAAATAAATATGCTAGCTCCCTCTCAGCATTAAGATTTCAACTTTAATATTCTCGAAATCTGACTACATTTACCGCATTTAATATTGTCGATGCCAAAATTCTATCAATCCATATGCGATGACATCAAATCCATAACAGCGCACATAATGAAGGAATGCATTTCATTCATGCAGGGATAGCAACATTCCTGCAGAAAGGTAAGTTTGATCCAAAGACCAGATACAAATGGCAGTGATTGGTGGCAAATTAAACAACTACTTCATTGTGTTAATAATCAAAGTAAACCAACTATCCTACAGTTTACTGGGGAATGAAAACAGCCTGAATATTTCATACTTTGGCAACAACGGAGACATTCATTTCAAATTACCTCGCAATGCCCATTCTCCAACACTAGCAATCAAGACAAGAGATGATGCGCATATAAACACTCACACACACAGTTCTACACATCACAAGGAAGTTAACTTATGTTCACTGTCTGTTAAGGCCTCTGTAAGGTGAACAGAACAAGACTCAGAATCTATTTCTTCCCTAACCTATATGTAATCAACTCTAAAACTAAACCTACATCTAAAGCTAACCTAATCTATTTGGAGAACTCAAAGGCAACAGCATGTAAGACTTGCAAATTTTCTAATTATTTTATGTGAACCAAAGACTGAAATACCTGTAGAACATTTCATGAGATATCTCCGTGCTTTTTGGTTTACATATTCACTCTGTAAAATATCTGCATATTGTTAATATAACAATTGAAATCACCAGCCCTGGATTCAGTAAATGGTAGGTAGCATTAGGTATGAGGAGAAACACGATAACACATTGACTCGAATGCTTTGCATTGCACTTCTGTGAATAAATTTCCCATAATGATCCATTGCAAGGTAGGGAACTGAAACATGGAGGTGTAAAATGTTAATGCACAATGCCTCTGTAATCACACATACTCATAATTAGTTTCTGGGGACACATGGTGTTATGTACAGCCTACTGACACAATTCTGACGGGATGGAAAACTACTGTATGGGGGGATGCAGTCACTACAATGCCCATTTCTTCAAACTGCACCATAAAAATTTGATGCAAGTGTAAAAAAACACTAATGTAATAGGAAACATTTACTTAAATTAAAAACAATAAAAAATATTTTGACATAGATGACTAAGTTGTTGATTATGAGATCGATGGAAGTTTCCTTTTAATCCCTCTAAAACTATTTGCTCCTCGCTTCAAAGTGAACACTAGTACATACATAGGGGCATAGCAGGACTAAAATATAAACTGCAACCTCCACTCAGCTTGTTACAAAATGTATATACAGTTCCAGTACACTTGTTACATGCAGCGTAATGAAGACATGAACACAAATGACTTACTTTACAACTATTTACACTGCACTGTGGTATTGTTCACAATCTACAACACGAATCACAATTACAGACACCCCGACACAGAGAAATGCGTTATTCATTTTAAAAATACCCCAGTATGATCAGACTATAAAAGAACTAAAATAAAAGTGACAACTATTTACATTTTGAAAATACTGGGAATAATACCTACGAGAATGTTCTTTCTAAAATTTCAGGTGTTCTCAGTAAATCACAGATTTTACAGTACAAATACGTTCAAAATTAAAAGAGAAAATTAAAATTTGTGCTTGTATTTACACCTTGCTATGCCCCCAATTCTAAAGAGGCAAAGCTTAGAAACTGTGGAATCCACTGCTGTTAACTTCAAGTTATCATAAAAGTAAAACAAAAGTGTACTAACAAAAAAACATTCTGTTGGGCAACAGGGAGGCAACTCAGAATCTGGTCTCACCCTCGGATCACAGAATATTCAGCCATTACATTTAACAGTTCATTATCCCCTTCACACTGTCATGAAGAGGCAAGTTTTTGCCATTCGCATTATCCGAACCCACAAGTCGCGACTGGCATATGGTACAGATCCTGCTGACATCAAGTGGCTCCACTGCGCAAGTCACAGCTTCCTATACTTTATTTCCTGTAGTCAGGCAGACATATTTGACCTGTTCCATGCAAGTTATCCATTTATCCTTTCAAAACAACATTCCTCCTGATCATCATAACAGTTTTCCATTTCTACTTCACACATCACTGGCAGCTCCTCAAAATGGGCTAAGCGATACTATGGGTGTCTGTTCCATCTTGTCTTACTTCCACTGGTCCAACAGCACTTGCTGCACATACACACACACACACACACCCACACTGTTACAGGGCTTAAGGAGACCAATTTAAGTTAGTTCTTTATCATGGTAACCAGAGTAATAGGGAAGCTTTCAAGCAATCCACGTTCCCACGTTCCCATGGGACTCTTGTTCGATAGCAATATTCGTTAGTGCGGTTAATCAGATTGGATTCCCAAAACATGACGTGTTAAACGAGGTTTTTGTGTGAAGTAGTAGGCCATACCCCACTTGGGTGAAACAGAAGCAGCCCAAGCTTCAGACGATAGAGCGTTTCACAATTGCAAACTAGGGTGAGGATAATGTCACTCCCATTGGTGGGGCGAGGGAGGTAGTTCAGACAGGTGAGCAACTGCAGAGCTAGAAGAGAAGAAGAAAATCACAGCGTTACGTAACATTATCAAGAGGATATACTCAACAACTTCCATTTTTTGATCTCAAACCTGTTATCAATACTGTAAATCATCATTTTAACAAATATTTTGTTATAAATGATATCTCATTAAGTCCCTTACAGCAGTAATAACATTACTGTGTTTCCCGCTGTTCCACGTTTGGCGGAAAAATAACTGGCACAGCATTCCCAAACAGAAGCTGATGTGAACTGGCTGCATATTGAGAACAGGTTCAGTATCTCTCAGATTCACAGTGCAGTCAGCTCTCAATTTTGATTATAAATTTCAACCCCTTACAAATAATGACAAAGACCTTTTAATTTCTGCCACACAAAACATATATGCATTTTATTTGCACAAGAAATGTTGCCAGTTAAGGACACATCAATCATGTGACCTATGAGAACTGAATGCACTTTAGTAACGTACAAAAGTAGAGGAAGGCGTGGACTGTACCCTCAGCATTTCCAGAGGTCGCAACATGGTTTATAGCATTAGCGTTATCGGGGAAGGGATGAAGTAGAAGTAGTGAGAGTAGTGAAGGTCTCCGTCAGCCGCCGCCTGCCTCATGTCCCCACTGAGCGAGCCCGCCACATGACTCTCGTTGAGCCTGCAGCAGCCTTACCTGGCAAAGCTCTTGAAAGCTGCAGACTGAGGATTAATGCACAACGGGACTCTACTGGTATTCAGTTGTTCCGCAATGAACTTGTGCATTTCCTCTGAAAACACACCAAAGCCAAGAACAACATTAAATATTTTCATTTCTATTAGTATTCTTAAGGATGGGGTGAGCAGTCCCTTGGTTCTTAGTGTGAGGTGACACTGAGTCCCCTGTCAACAAGGACAGAGCAAGGCTGAATCCCATCATACTTAGGCTGGAGTGTGGCCAGACAGGAGGGTGTGTGGGCCCCAAAGGGAGACTGGACATTGGGGATACAGATAAATCTCATGTTCCTGACAAGAATAAAGAAAACCCTAATATCCAAGCCATCTAGGTTGCAGATCATTAAGATATGCCACATGTAAAGGTGAAAAGGTAAAGTTGTCCTGGTGCTTAACTAATTAAGCACTATGCCTTGAAGACATATGGGGGGAGTGTATGTATAGATCCACACTTTCTTGACCTCAGCACTAGCTGGAGGTGAGTGGTCAGCTTCACGCCCCGGCCGCTTTACCCCCAAGGAAAAAGTCCCCAGTACCCATTAGATAGGAGGTTTGGTGGACCCCAGAGCTGATCTGTACGATGTGGAGAAGAGAAAATTCTTGGCCCTACTGGGACTTGAACTCCGATTCCTTGGTCATCCAGTCCATAGCCAGTAGCTATATAGACTACACTAACCCAGCTCCTAAGATCTGCCACACATGCCATTTAAAATGCAACCCAGAAAGAGACCAGAAGCTGCTGATCATCAAGAAATGCAATGTAAATAGTAAAATCAAAACTGCCCACATATACAATCCTTTGCATCAGGCTTCAAGCTGCCAGTCATTTCAGCCATGGTACTTACTTTACATGTACATGCTTCCTGTTTCCTCTTAGTTAAGTTTAAACAAATGTAAATCATGATCATCTTACCCCTTTGAAGTACCATGTTCATCTAAATAATACATAAAAATGTAGTTCTGACCTCAATGAAAACACACTGAAACTCGATTACAAAGGCCAACCAGTTAATGCTGTTTAGGGAAATAATCGCTGTTTGTTAGGAGAATCATACAGCACACATAAAATACGCTGTGTGGGCAAAATGTAAACATTTTTAATATTACAGCAGGTGGTACACATACTTATCACTGTATTTTAAGGTTCTGAACATCCCTGTAACTGATCTGAGCAGGTTATGATTATTCACATGAAACACATCACATCCTCTGTCTCAGCACTAAAACTGAATTATAAAATGGACCCTAATTCAACTAAAATACAACATGAAAACTGAAATGCAGGAATGTCAATGATTTCCCAGGTGTGACAGAACAAAATATGGACTGGCTAATACACTGTCACAGAATACCACAGTCAGAACATTTGTCTGTTAAACATTGCTAGTAGAAAGCAATCAGCTGATTGAGTTATATCTGCCTATGCCATTCAACCATGAAGTGTTGTGAACTTAAGATGGTGCTCTGTGTTAATTACAATTCTTATCTTTAAAAACTAACCGACTGACACAACAGTGTGTACGCATCAGGTGGTAAAACTAGAATACAAACCTTTAACATGTTAATTCTTTTTTCAGAGACAAAGAGGAACAGAACTCAAAATATGTGAGAAGTTTTTGACATTCAAAAGCAGACTGACTGCTTCTGAAGTTGTTGAATGCTGAGGGAACACACTGTTCTCTGAGAATGATAGAATTGTGAATCAGAAGTTCATACTGATGGGACAATCTATAATAAGTATTTCCACACAGTTTTCCTGCAGCTCCTATAGCAGTAAATACAGCAAAAACATTCCAATAAATGTGGCAAAGAGGTACTGATAAATATAGCAAAACTTTCTTGTTAAAGGTGACAAGTCCTGGCAAAAAGTCCTCATAGGTATGATAAAAATGTCATATTAACTGCATCAAAACCATCCAAATAAACATGTCAAAACACTGTGATAAATGTGATGACAAACCCTGATAAAATGGCAGAAAACAACCCATTAAATATGGCAAACATGTCCCAATAAATGTAGCAAAAAGATCTGACATATATGCCAAAAACATTGTGATAAATATGACAAAATAATTCTGCCAAATGAAGCGAAAGTGGTGAATGGTGCACTGGATATAGGCTTTCCCGTGACAACGTTCTTGCTCATTTTGTTCTGTCTGTGTGGGAATTCTAGGCCAGAAACCACATGACTGGTGTTGCGCTACCCTCTGTACTAGAAGGCCTAGCCTTCTGTGAGTTTGCTTCCAAAATTTAAATTAGTTCCCAAGGGAAAAGATTTAATTATGTAACAGTGCTAAGATGTGCTGAACTAGCCTTGTGAAAATCCAAACACAGTATTTCCAAAATGGTGCATCTATAAGAAAAGCAGAGTTTCTCTCACCTTTAACCTGCTGAACAGAAGTAAGTTTCTTCTCCCAAAGGTCATCAAAACTGTGTGGAGCAACTGGCTCAAAGTCAGCTGTGTACTGCCTCATGCCACCAGTAGTCGTGTAGCAGCACTTACACATACAAGAGTGGTATCGCAACCGCCCTTCGTCCAGGTATGGGTGTGCTAGGGCATCCACCACTGTTATTCTTTTGTCCTACAAAACAACATAAAAGAGTTGACACAGCACTGTACAGAACTTTGGAGAGATAACAAATGTATATAAAATTTTGGCTAAAACGTTAAGGGGAAGAAACCACTCACAGATGTGGGATAACACTAAGATGGCTCTGCAGAAACCAGCTGTGTGAGGACACACACTGGATTAATCTGGCTTCAATTAGGATCCAGCAGTAGTCCCGGGTGGATATCGCAATGAACCTTATGGTTCCATAAAAGTTAAAAATGTTATTACAAACTGAGTGACTCTGCCCCATGGAGTTAGTATGTGTTATTCAGAACTGTGAAACACTGAAGTGCATACAGCATATCAGACAGTGCTAGAATGCTTCTCTTTCCAGTGCAATAACTACCATTCCAAACAAATATATGCATATTAACAAATTCATGAACCTCCTACACTGTAATAATTTTATTTTAGTATCTGTTGGCCACTCCCCCCTGGGCATTTCTTCTGATCACTATCGAAAAACAAAGCTCTGTCTGAAAATACAAAACATCCTATGGCTTACTGCTACTATGGAATTAAACATATAAAATTATTATTGGTGCCACCTCTGAACTAAAGTATCTTGGGTAATTTGTTGGTTCATTTAAGGGCTACATAATTCTTGAATTCAATCTGAACCAGAGTCCACTGCCCTACTGCAGCGGTGCAGGTGCACAGTGCAACTCACCAATCAATTGCACTTCTTCAGTACTAATACGTTCATGTCAAAGTTAACATATGACCAGCATGCAGTACAGGCAGATATGAAATTCCCTATTCGTGGACAGCAAACTCTTCATAGTATTTGCATGATCCTGTTTGTGTCAAATATAAATGGCACAGTCCTGTACACAACTATTAGGCTTATTTTGGTCCAGTTATTGAGACTATCTCTTTCTGACGGGCCCAACTGAGTAGGTTTATCCTGCCACTTCCACCTGAGGACGGAGATAGATTCAGTCTCCGAAACGTTGTGGTCTTTTTGTCTTCTATATACCAGACGATGGATAGAGTCCAAAATAAGCCTAATAGTTCTGTACGGCATATACCATCATCAGAATCCTTTCAAGTCTATCAGCACAGTCCTGACTTACCGGATCAAAGACTAGCATCTGGCACAGGAGGTGCACAGCTTCATGTGTTGCTTGCGATGATAGTGTGTACAGTGCTGTTAAGGAAGGTGGCTTAGGAGCTCGTCGCAGCATGTGGGTACGTGCACCATCACAAGCATAGCGCATATCTTCCAGTGAAGGGGTGCCCAGTAACTCAGTAATCAGCTCAAGCTGTAAGTGAGCAGAAAAGCAGGGCTCATGGCAGTATCACAGCTTATGGAACAAACATGATATTAAAGGATGGTAAACCCTTGCTAATGCAGTTACAGTTATTCCAGGCTGTGCCATAGCTCAAGTGGTTAGTTGCTGGCTTTCCACCGTGGCGCCCCGGGTTCGATCCTGGGTCTGGCCAAGTGGGATTTATGGTGGACAAAGTGGCGCTGGGGTGGGGTTTCTTGGAGTACTTCAGTTTCCCCTACCAATCTTCATTCCACCAAATTTTCCATCATCATAATCACCCAGGGCAGGCTACAATAGGCCAATCAGTGGCTGCGTGCCGAGTGGACCCAGTTGGACTCCACCCCCCACTAAGGAAATTAATTAATTAATCCAGATCAAAATATGAAAAATGAAAAATTCTGTTCACAGTTGAATAAGGACTTTTAGACTATGTTGAGGGCAGCTGGAGAGACTGAAACCATGCAAGAAAATATACAAGATTGGTTTGAGCTGGATTAAGGAGACCCCGGATTTCAGCTTCTGACAGAGGAAGAAACTGTGCAGGGATATTTTTTTGTTTCCATCAGCACTACCTATAGGATTAAATTTTCCATTTATTTGTTTTCTAAGTATTTGTATTTTATGGCTATCTTTTACTTAATTAATCCAGATCACCCCTCACCCCAATTACTGAAGATTAGTGAGGGTTTACTTTATATGGTGAGGAAAAATGTATATATTACTCAATTGCAGAGGTCAAAACAATTAAAACATTTATTCCTTCAACATTTTTTCTGCTGAACTGTAATGCACAGAATTCATTGCCTGCTGATCTCACACATTCCATTACCTGCAGAACTCTCTTCACAAGATGACACATTAACATAACATGTAGAACTCACCTGCTGCACCAATGCAGTCCAGAACTCATGCACTGACCTCACAAGTTTCAGAACCTGCAGAACTCTCTTCACAGGGTGACACGTTAACACAACCTGCAGAACTCTCTTCACAAGATGACACATTAACATAACCTGCAGAACTCTCTTCACAAGATGACACATTAACATAACATGCAGAACTCACCTGCTGAACCGGACTCTGTGCCTGGAAGAGGATCCGTCTTCCCAACAGTTCTCCAAAAATGCACCCAACGCTCCAGACATCAACTGCAGCTGAATAGTGACGTGCTCCCATTAGTATCTCTGGTGCTCGATAGTACTGTGTCACCACTTCCTGTGTCATATGTTTCGACTGGTCTGGCTCCTCCACCCGGGCCAACCCGAAGTCACAGATCTATAAACACATCATAAACATGACACTGTGTGCCGTAAGATGATGTGAAACCATTTTAACTGAAAGAAGAGAAGGCTGGAACTGAAGTGTTACAATATGTATGGAAGGAACCTATATATCTTTCCTTTAATAAATTTTCAAATGAAAAAGAGACATGAACATGAGTGAATGTTTCCAAACTATCACATATGGGTAGAAAGGATGACATCAGGGTTGCTACTATAAAGGTAAAGGTAGGGTAAAGTTGTTCCTGTGCTCAACTAATTAAGCACTACGCCATGAAGACATATCAGGGAATGAATGGATATACAGACACATGTTTTCTTGACCTTGGCACTTTCTGGAGGTGAGTGGTCAGCTTCATACCCACCCTGCTTTACCCCTGGTGAAAGAGACCTCAGTACCCTTTGGATACGAGGCTGGGTGGGCCCCAGAGGCAGTCTGGATGACACAGAGAAGTGAAAATTCTTGCCCCCCTTGGGAGTTGAACTCCGACCCCTTGGTCATCCAGCCTGCAGCCAGTCTCTATACCGACTGCTTCAAGACGCTCATTTTCAGAATGTTTACTCACTCACTCCTTACCTTAAGAACACAATTGCTGTTGACAAGCAAGTTGCCAGGTTTGATGTCTCGATGAAGAATGCGGGCAGAGTGGAGATACTTGAGACCTACAAGAGAAACAATATTTTATTAGTATAATAATTAACATCCAGTTGTGATGGCACTTCATGTTAATATGGATGGAAAGGTAACACATTCACTCAAATAAATAAATGTCTAATAAAATTTTATTTTACTGTGGTTTATTTAACAAAGCTGTCAGTAGCTTAGGCTACACATCGTCAAATGATAGGATTAGTGAATAAGGAAACAAAAAGTATGTGACCTACTTTAAAGTAACATATGCCCAGCACTTTCCTGGAGAGACTGACAGGAACCATGAAACACCTCCAAGAGGACAGCACTGATTTGACATGAAGTCTCCTGAACACAAGGCAAGAGGACTGCCCACATTACTGCAATGTTCAGCGTAGTGCAACATTCTGCAGTCTTGTTTATATCTGCTGACATGAGACAGACTGTGTGCCCAATATCATTTGCTTCTATTCGTGTTCGCAGACCCAAATAAATGGCATGTGGGAATAACTGCCCTTAACCCCTTGAGCATGGTAGTAATTTGCTGTACCACCTGCTTTGGGGGCTGGGATAGCTGAGTCAGTACAGTGACAGTCTGTGGACTGGATGGCTGGCATTTGATTCCAGCAGAGGCAAGAGATTTCTCTTCTCCACAGAATCCAGACCGGCTCTGGGGCCCACCCACCCTCCTATCAAATGGGTAACGGGGGCCTTTTCCCTGGGAATAAAGTGACTTGAGCACTTGGGTGAAGAATCATTGAGCTATACACCTCCACTCCCCTATACATCTTCATGACCTGGTGCATTATTAAGCACAACTTTGTCTTCACCTGTTTTAACATTCAAACAGTGTGTGTGTCTTTCTCAGATGTTGTGTATTTATGGAGTTTGCATGTTTCTAACGATAAACTGCTTTAGGGTTTTATACTGGTGAGGTGCTGGGCCCTCTGCACAGGATGAGCTTATTCAAATTTTATTTCACTGAACTTAGGCCTTGACACCACTTACTTCCTCAGAGGGAAGAAAGGGGAGGGGAAGCAGTTTTTGTGCCAAGCCATTAAGAGGTGTGGGGGGTGTGCACGTAGTTCGCCACTCATTCTTAGCCACGGCACTAAGTGTCAGCTTCACGCCCTGGCTACATTACCCCAGAGCAGCCATTCTGAATAGGAGGCTGTGTGCGCCCTAGAGCCAAGCTCGATGTTGTGGAGAAGATAAAAATCTTTTGGCGCTGCCAGTAGCAAACCACGATTCCTCGGTGGTCCAGCCCTAAGTCCAGTCACTAAACTGACTGAGCTGTCTCAACTCACTTTATCACAAGTACACATCAGAAATTCACCAGCGTTTAAAAAATTTGACGACGGTGCCGGTCACGGTAGCCGAGCAGTCTAAGCATGTACTATCTTCGCTCGCTTGGAAGCCGGGATCGTGGGTTCGAATTCCACTCATGTCATGGATGTTTAGTTTGTGTGTGTGCGTTTTTCTGTGTTTGTGTATAGGTTGAAGCCTTGCGACGAGCTGATCAACCGCCCAAGGAGTTCTACCGAATGTGTAAGATCTAGAAAAACCGAAATGAACGGACAAGTTCATGGAGGTAGGCCTAGGCCCACTGGGGCTGTAGTGCCAAGGAAAAAGAAAATCCTCCGACGGTGCCGTAACGGCCCCCACCCAAAAACATCAAAACTGAGGAAACTCAAAGAGTTTCCGGGCCTGCCACTAGATGGCTCTGCGCTTCGCTGTCCGTGAGCTGGCGCAGTGCGGTCACATTTTGGGACTGAGGGACTGGATTCTGACGTCACAAAGGGGTAGTGCAGTGAACTCTAGTTCCAACCGACAGACATATGCGCCATCATAAACTTTAAGTGCTCTTAACATTTTGGTTCCGTTCGCGTTCCTTCATTGTTTTCAAGAGCCCTTTTCTTGGTCCACATTTCAATTTCTTCCTCCCTCATGTTGGTAATAACTGCTGTCAGGTCGGCTCTGTCGGTCCAACCATGGTTCGACGCCCGGAAGGGACAGGAGACTTTTATTCTCTCCACAGCTTCCAAATCAAGCCTGGAGGCTGCCCGGTCACCCAGTCCAGTGGACACTGGACACTCTTTCAATGGGAGTAAAGCTGACCATTCACGTCGATCTATGTCGGGATTAAAAATGCATGGAGTTATACCTCCACTGCCCCGTACATTTTCATGACGTGATGTTTAATTAATCACAGTGACAACTTTACTTTAAAGAGGACAGTCTTGGCTGTAACGCCGTGTAGTTCGGAGGAACATATCGCTTCCATTTTCAGTATCGGTGAGTAGGCCCAGCAAGAAACCCAGAGAAGCAGGCGGCGGGCTGAGCTGGTTTCTTGCTTGCTTTAGTATTTGCACCTAAAGACTGAGGCAATGTGTTTCTCCGAAACGTCGAGATCTCCGAACTATACAGAATTACATGCCATAAGGCTGTTTCTGGCCAGCCTGTTTTCCTCATCCGAGGTATCGGTTAAGCGACTATGAATATTCTGCCGGTAAAAGTAAAAGTAAAGCTATCCCTGTAACAGGCCGTGAAGACTCAACAGGTTGTGAGATGTTGAGGCTCCCACATTATCTAGACAATCGGCTCAAAGATTGCAGTAAGGTTGTGTCAGTTTTACGCGCCGGCCGCGCTTTACTCCCCAGGAAAATTATTTAATTAATTCCTGGTACTCATTTCTGTTAAAGGCTGAGTCGACCTCAGGGCCATAGCGCGGCTGGAAGGATCAGGTCAAAGAAAAAAATCCAGTGACCTCATCGGGACTTGAAGTCGTGACCTTCCGGTTTGTAGCACAGCGCCTCAACCAACAACGCTAGAACGTACTAAAAATGCTACAGTGAAATGGAATAGGGAGGACTGACGCTACGGTCCTCCTTGTGGAGGTACAGCTCCAGCCCTTCTTAACTATCGGCACTACATCAGGTTCAAAGTCACGTTCCGGCCACTTTATCCCCGAGACCCCATTGAAGCTGTGGAGACATATCGAGCGCCGCTGTCACTATCGAAGTCTACACAGCCTAGAAAGGTAGGGTGATTGGCCTAATGGAGATACTATCCCAGTGTTCAGCCTGGAGGAACTGTGGAACACCTCGAAAACTGTTTTAATCACGATAGCCGGTGTCCTGACTGAGATTCGAACCGTGAGCATTCCAAATATGAGTCCATATCGTTACCGCTATGCCAGCCTGCTCTCTCTGTGCAGCATCTCCCTGATATCAGATAGAATGGTTGCCTGCGAACAACACGCGAGCCACTCATGTCACACGTGCCACTGGTCCGCTTCCACTGCTCCGATACCCAGGGGCGCGTTAGGGCTCCAGCTCGCCCGGGAACACTTCTGCCCGCATGCAGCCAAAATCTCGCCGTAAACATCATCATCAGTTTCGCAGCGGTTCCGTGCGCCGTCACTCCCGAATGTCAAGTGCTGCAGTCTGCACAACCTGCCAATCAAACGCCTTTGTATTTCCAACCACGTGTCACTCCGGCAAACTTCTGGAGAGAACTAATCGCTTACTTTCCTATGATATGAAACGAACCGAAAATGAATGAAAACGCCGCCTCCAGCAATTCTTCGTCGCCGCGCGAACTTTTAACGTGCCGTTGTCTAGCAACGACAGAGGAATAAACTGATAAACCCTCAGACTCTCCTTTGATACGACATGGACCGCAAAGAAAAAAGACGTGCCCAACAATTCTCCTATTGTTGTGAGCGGTCGCGCGAACGTTTTGCCGTGCCGTTGCCTAGCAACGACAGAGGAATAAACTGATAAACCCTCAGACTCTCCTTTGATACATAGACCGCAAAGAAAAAAGACGTGCCCAACAATTCTCCTATTGTTGCGTGCTGTCGCGGGAACGTGTTTACCGAGCCGTTGTCTAGCAACGGTAGGACAGTGGATTCACATACACACAGATAGCAAAGTGTTCCAATAAGCCTACGTTCATAAGGAAAGTAGGCTAAAAAGAGGGAAGAGACACTGCACATACTTTCTCTCTTGCGACTGACCTTAAGTACGTTACTTTGGAAACGAAATCGAGGGTTCTTCGATAGCCCGTTGTTGGTTAATACCGAACAACAACGAAATTCATCTGACTGATAGAGGCGTTTCCCGTTCGGGCTCTCAACGCGCGTACCCGTTACNCAACGGTTGTCCTAATGCTCAAGCATGTTTCCGGTTTGGCGTTGTGAGGGGCATGTCCCATAAAGAAGTGCTCCTACGCTACCGAGAGGGTTATACGTTAATATTACCTTGTCCATGGGGCACGTGGTAGAGTAGTTGGTTGAGGCACTGTGCTACAAGCCGGAAGGTCGCGGGTTCAAATCCCGATGAGGTAATTGGATTTTTTCAATTAACCTAATCCTTCCAGCAGCACTGTGGCCCTGGGGTCGACTCAGCCTCTAACAGAAATGAGTACCAGAAATATTCTTGGAATGTTTTTTGGGGTAAAGGGCGGCTTGCACGTAAGGATGACAACCTCACCGCCATCTGTGAGCAGACTATGTATTGTATTGTATGTATTATGGGAGGGGGTGGGTTTCCCCATGCACTTAGACCAGTTATTGGTCCATTGTGCGTCCCCCTTTTAATTTATACTGTCGCCATACTCTACCGGTATCGGTGCGTGCTATCAGCCCCCGGTACCTTGATGTTT